CAGCCTGGCTTACTACGGGTGAGAGACAAGGAAGGAATACCAGGGGGAGCAATCGTTGAGGTCATTTTGGAGACGATGTGTTTCCATGACTCTCTGATTTTAGTCCTTTCAGTGTTTGACTGCTTCACTATGAATTAAATCACTAAGCAATGGGACAAACAGCAAATCATTTAAAAGTCTCCTTTATCATTCTGAAATATCCACAAAGTGTCATTACAAAAGCCCCATTCAAAAAAACCAACCTTTGTGTCGCTTTTGGTAAATGTCTCCTTTTGTAGGCAGACTATTACCGTCTCATTCAAATTACCAGAGGCATCTTTATCTCTAAACTGACACTGTGCCCATGTACATAAATTGCTCATAGAATGTAATTGTGTTATCTCAGATATCTTAACATTTACAAGTATCTGCCTGCAAATGTCTCCTTTTCTAACCACCTAAACATCTTTTTAATTAGTGAGAACATTTTTGGTTGGAGATAATGATAGAAATCCCAGATAAAAGACAATGTTTCAGTGGCTGAAATGATGAACTCACCTCAAGTTAAGTACAGCAGCATTTAGAATACTAGTCCAAGGATCTATTTCCAGCCCCATACAATAGTTATTTCATTTGTGTTGGTATCATGATCAACAAGAACCTTCTCACAGGGTAACATCAAAAACATGAAAATTTTAAACATTTTTTCTAGCACTTAAAATTTCAAGGGCAAGATTGCCATTAAGTTTTACAGAGACATGAACACTGAGCAAAGGAAAAAAAGTACCCTCAGTGGCCAGAGGTGAGATGAGTCTATCCATACACACCCTCAGCCTGGGGAGACCTTACCCCAACCACTTATACGGGTATGGAGGAGGTGTCGTTGTCCAAAGTGCCATTTGGATACTGTAACAAAGGAAGGTGAGAAATAAAATACATGTGCCACATACTTTATCATTTTCATTAAAAGTTACATAGGTTATGTTTATTCTTTGTAAAAAAAAAAAAGTAGGTCTTGAACGTATAGTGAATATATATGGACCCCCCATTAAGGGTTAAAGCGTCTGTAAAGGAGATCACTTTATTTACATTGAATGCTTAAACAACTGAGCATATGGACTAAAGGGCGTGAGCCCAGCAATCTGGACATGTTTACTCAAAGGTGATAGATTAATTTTCCGAATGTTATTATAGTTCAGGATTGTTATCAAAGGCTCAGTGACCGCGCAAGATTAGTAACCACAGTGTAATCCAGATGAGAAGAATTAGAGCATGGAGAAAAATGGCAGCGATATTAGAAGAGTAAGTATCCTAAGAAAAAAGTCATGTGGAACAACGAATAGCCTTGGGGTTCGTCTTGTCAGCTGGGAGGAAAGATGAGGAAGGTTACAGAAGTTGTGTGTACTAGGTAGATTGGCCAGACCACAGAAAGATTCAAGGATGCCGTCCCAAACCTCTCAGTTAATTTTTTTTTTTTTAAATTGTTGATTCTGGGTAGTATAAATACCTGTGTTTTATCATGACATTATTTTCATTAACTTACGATTAAGCTAGGATAATTTGTTAGAGTGACCCGATATCATAAAATAAAATTTGAGAATTGAGACGAGATGTGTTGTTGGAAATATAGATTGGAAATTAAGTGAATAATCCCAATACTGAGGGCATCACATGGCTGCAGATTGGCCCGAAAATAAGTGAGTTCAAGAGAAAGGTAGTTTGGTGACACCATCTGTTCACATACTCTTAGAACCGTTGAGCTTCCCAGTCGAGCAAGAATAAGGGCTAGAAAGAGTCATCCGACTATCTGAAGCATACTATTTATTAAGTTTGCTAAATCAACAACACAAGAGCAACATTGTACTTGCATAAGTTGAGGGAGCAAGATCAGAACCGCTTGGCTTTCAGTTCAGAAGGTACCGTAGAGAAACGAGTAGAGAGAATTTTGTAGAATGTTTGGCAGATAATAAAATAGTATCTGAAATTAAATTATATTTTTATTTTTATATTACTTATAATTTATTTAATTTAATTTTATTTTATTATAATTTATTTTTAAATTAAATTAAAAATAACGCAGGTGACATGGCATTCGTCACCAAGATCATTTGCATCATTTTGAACCCAGTTTCTTAGGGCTGGCGTCTCAATGTGGGAGTACCATGAAAACTTCAGAAAATGTATTATGCAAATAAACGCACAGACACACTTAAACTAACTCATTGTATTATTGAATTCCAAACTCTGTCTTGACAAATGGACTGTAAAAAATGAATCATCTTCTAAAACCTGCAGACCCCCTCCGGTGAGCGAACTTGCTGCCGGAGGCACAACAGTTGGTGTCATTTCTGCAGCGGCCGTCAACCAGAGTATCGTGTACTCCATTGTCTCAGGAAACGAAGACGGTGAGTGGATCCTCAGTCTCTGTTTTCGCCATAAATTAACAAACTGGGCTCTGAGATTCATTTCGGATTGAATTACCACTTACCCCATTTTTCTAATAAAATCCTCTCCAACTTAGAAGTAATTGGTACATTTGGGGCGCCTGGGGGGGGCTCAGTCGGTTAAGCATCTGACTACGGCTCAGGTCATGATCTCGCAGTTTGTGCGTTCAAGCCCCGCTTTGGGCTCGGAGCCTGGAGCCTGCTTTGGATTCTGTGCCTCTCTCTCTCTCTCTCTCTTTCCCTCTCTTTCTGCCCCTCCCCCGCTTGTGCTTCCTGTTGTCTCCCTGTTGTCCTGTTTTTCTCTTTTTTTTTTTTTTTAATTTTTTTTTTTTCAACGTTTATTTATTTTGGGGACAGAGAGAGACAGAGCATGAACGGGGGAGGGGCAGAGAGAGAGGGAGACACAGAATCGGAAACAGGCTCCAGGCTCTGAGCCATCAGCCCAGAGCCCGACGCGGGGCTCGAACTCCCGGACCGCGAGCTCCGTGACCTGGCTGAAGTCGGACGCTCAACCGACTGCGCCACCCAGGCGCCCCCTGTTTTTCTCTTTTGATAAACTGGACGGCCAGGCATGTCGTAAGCGGTCAGGAAAGAGTCAATATACATGTAGTAAGTACATAAAGATTCAATATTGAATATTTATATGAATGACTATAAATAAATGCCGTTAAGCAATTTTCAAGGAAATTCTAAGTGTTTCAATGACCAACCATTAACTAGAAATCACTCTCCCTGCAGCCAGTGCTCACATCTTACTTTTCTTGCTGCCTTTCTTCTTTGTTCCCACTGTGCTGTTATGCCCCCTCCCTAAATATCACCAACGTCTAATGCCCCCTAGGATGTGGAGGACCATCCAAATCTACTGTGACTAATTGAGTGTGCAGTGCTTCCCAAATGTAATTGACTGATGAGACATTGATTTCCAGGAGAATCTCAAAGTAACTGGAAAATCAGGGTATTCACATAAGGATGCACTGATGATAATCTGAAGTTTGTGAAAGCCTCCTGTCACTTTCACGTATTACGTATTACATTTATTTATTTTTGAAAGACAGACTGTGAGTGGGGGAGGCTCAGAAAGAGAGGGAGACACAGAATCAGAAGCAAGTTCCAGGCTCTGAGCTGTCAGCACAGCGCCTGATGCAGGGCTCGAACCCATGTACAGTGAGATCATGACCTGAGCCCAAGGCAGAGGCTTAACCGACAGAGCCACCCAGGCACCCCTCACGCATTACTCTTGTTACAAGAAGTGATTTAGGGGCGCCTGGGTGGCTCAGTTGGTTAAGCATCCGGCACTTGATTTCAATTCAGGTCATGATGTCACAGTTCATGAGATCGAGCCCTGCACTAGGCTCTATGCTGACAGCATGGGTCCTGCCTGAGAGTTCCTCTGTCTCTCTCTCTCTCTGCCCCTCCCCCACTCACTTTCTCAAAAATACACTTTAAAAAAAAAGAAGTGCTTTTAAAATCACAGGGCTTTTAAAGCGACTTTTTAATTTTCCTCTTATAGTGTGAGGGAAATGATCAAGAAGCTGTGTTTTAACTGCAGGTCTGTTTGGAATCCACAACATCACGGGTGTTATCTATGTCAATGCCCCTCTGGATTACGAGACAAGAACGAGCTATGTGCTTCGCGTCCAGGCTGATTCCCTGGAAGTGGTCCTCGCCAATCTCCGAGTTCCTTCGAAAAGTGAGTCATGTTACTTCAGCACTTTTAAGAATTTTGGGGTGCTTCTGCTCATTTCCTAATGAAATACACATGTCTGAAAGCTATCAGGGGAGAGCTTGGGAGACCATCAGCGCTTGGGGCTGACTCCACGTCCACTTCAGCCGCTGAGGCAGGACAGCACAAGGAGCGATTTCATACTCCTGAAATATCAAGGCAATAACATGCTGCCTCCAAATTTTGTATACGCTATTGTTAGAATAACCTTTATTCTCAGTCTCACTGTAAGACTGGCGAACTCTCTGGAATGTATTGTTAACGGGAGGGGATTGTTCGACATTCTCTGAATTGTGTGACTTCTTGTACTTATGGATTTTCTTAAGTGCAGAGGAAAATGTGGAAAACGCATCTTCAAACAGCGACTAACATATATTGTAAATTATGCATGGCATGATATTTAACTCACATCCATTTCTAGGAGATGAAAATTATTCCTATTTTACAAAGACAAGATAAGAAAAGGTTCAGTGACTTTTTAAAAAATGACACTGTAGGTAAATGAAAACCTGGAGATTGAAGCTCACATCTTTTCACTCCAAAATCTTTCTCCCACACCTGTCTGTGGGATGCACAGGAGAGCAAATAAAGCCAATTTGTGAAGGGACCCAGCAGAGGTTCTGGGAGATATTTCTAATAACGAGAGAAAGGCTGGTCTTTTCCATCCACACAGGTAATGCTCCTTTGCACTTCAGGGAGTTCATCTTTTTATAATCACACCAACTTTTTACCAGTACAGAAGACCAGAGAAAAATCTAATCTAACCATTGGTAGAACAGAGGCCCAGAGAGAGCATGAAATGGGACTCTGAAACAGTGACCTTTGGCTGCGGGTCCTTCCCGTGCTGGTGCTCCTTCAATCAGCGTCCGTAGGCTCTTTCCATAATTTGGCTATTGTTGAAAGTGCTGCTATAAACACTGGGGTATGAGTGCTCCTATGCATCAGTACTCCTGCATCCCTTGGGTAAATTACAGAAAGAGCCTAAATGTCCATCAACTGATGAACGGATAAAGAAATTGTGGTTTATATACACAATGGAATAGTACTTGGCAATGGGAAAGAATGAAATATGGCCTTTTGTAGCAACGTGGATGGAACTGGAGACTGTGATGCTAAGTGAAATAAGTCAGTCAGAGAAAGATACCATATGTTTTCACTCTTATGTGGATCCTGAGAAACTTAACAGAAGACCATGGGGGAGGGGAAGGGAAAAAAAAGAGAGGGAGGCAGGCAAACCATAAGAGACTCTTTAAAACTGAGAATAAACTGAGGATTGATGGGGGGTGGAAGGGAGGGGAGGGTGGGTGATGGGCATTGAGGAGGGCACCTGTTGGGATGAGCACTGGGTGTTGTATGGAAACCAGTTTGACAATAAATTTCATATTAAAAAAAAAAAGGAAAAAAAATCAGCCTCTGTAGAAGGGGGAGCAGGGAAAAGGAAGAGTGAGTGAGAGGCCCCAGCAGGATGCAGGTGCCAGAGGGAGAGAGCTCCAGGCAGTGTGAGAAAGGAGACAGGCGATGTGCCCTCGAATCTCCTCTTCCAGGTCAGTAGTGGATGGTCATGACAATAAGGATTCCTGATCTAGGTAGAGAGCTGCACCTTGCTCGTAAGGGTACAACCAAGTCATTTGAAAAAAAAAATCAGATTATACAGGGTGTACCTTTGGAATTAAAGGAATTAAGTTGTGTTCAGTGATTATTCATCACTTGCATAATCAAATTGTTTAAAAATAGCAGGCCAGGGGCACTTGGGTGGCTCAGTCGTTTAAGCATCTGACCAGCTCAGGTCATGATCTCACTATTTGTGAGTTTGAGCCCCTCATGGGGCTCTGTGCTGAACTCAGAGCCTGGAGCCTGCTTCGGATTCTGTGTCTCCCTCTCTCTTTCTGACCCTCCCCTGCTTACAGTCTGTCTCTCTCTCTTTCAAAAATAAACACTAAAAAATTTTAAAATAGCAGACCAGTTTCTTCAGCTTTTAAAATCTTTAAGCTGCAGGCAATTTTATTTTTATAAAATATAGAGGAAGCTTCAAATTGTCAACTGAATTGTCTAAACCAGGAGTCAAAAAGATAGAGTGGTTCTAAATTATATAATGTAAACTACCTTCTTGCAACTAAGAAAAATATGAAAGCTATTTGAAAACTGTATTTCCCATCTTTATTTGAAAAAAAAAAGAAACAGATTTAGAAAGAAAAACCTAAATATATAGGTCGTAGAACTTGGCAGTTTTCAAGAAACAGCTCCAAATTCTCGGAATAAAGACAAAGCGGTAACTTTTATGTGAGTGTGTTACAACTAGTTCTCGTTACTTTAATGTAAACCTAAGGCTAATAAAAATTTAGCTAATGTACCCATTAGTGTTCTTACAGGTGCCCAAGTTTGCCTGTAGAACTGAGACCAGTTATCAGGTTCCTGAATTAGCCTCTCAGAAGTGAATGAAGTCTAAAAGCTAAATGTTAGTTTGTTTAATGCCTGATGCTTTTAATATTGTTATTAACATTTCGTGACTGACCTCTGCCTCGTGAGTCTGTAATACAAACTCATATATTTAAATCACTGTTTCACTTATTAATGACTCTTAATGGCCTATAATCAACCTCTAGTTCATTAGCTATGCAAAAATAAGAACATTATGTAAATTAGGTTAATTAATTAATGGTCTAACGGTTTATCCCTGCTTTAGAAGTAGCTGTCCCGTGGTCTTCAGCCATATGTCATATGAATAAAGTAATAAAGAAGGGAGATTTGATTCATTAAAGAAGTATTTTATCATAATTCCTTTACCAAGAATTTATTAATGAAATCGTTTGCAAAGTAAGTTTTATAACTATGCTGTAACTGAACTTAATATTTAAATGCAATTTCATATTTAAAGTAGGACCATTTCAGAACTCATTTCATAATTTTGACCCTAGGAATATTGGAAACATGCTCATCTTTTACTGCAGAAATTTCAAACATACATAAAATTCCAGAGAGGATTATAATGACTCTCCAAGTGGCGACTACCCAAGTTCATTACCAAGTCCCCAGAAATGCTCTCACCCACTCCCTCCCTTATTATATTGAAGCAGGTCAGACACACAATATTTCATCTGCAAAATATCTCAATGTGTGTCTCTTAAAAATAAGGACCCAAAACTTAATCATAATACCATTATTAATCCCCCAAAATTAATAAAAGTCCCTCCATATCATTGAATATCTAGTCAATATTCATATTAAAAAATTAGATCCATCTATTATGATTGGTTGAAAAGGGTTTTAATTGTCTCTGTTAAACTATAGGCTTCACCACCACCACCTGATTTGACTCCCTCTGATGTTTATTTGTTCAAGATTTCGGGGGCGCCTGGGCAGCTCAGTGAGTTGAGTGTCAGACTTCAGCTCAGGTCATGATCTCATGGCTCGTGAGTTAGAGCCCCATGTCAGGCTCTGCTCTGACAGCAGGGATCCTGCTTGGGATTCTGTCTCTCTCCCAATCTCTCTGCCCTCCTTGGCTCATGCTGTCTCTCTATCAAAATAAATAAACATTCAAAGGAAAAGAAACCAGATTTCTGAAGAGTGGGTTTCAACTATTGAACCTTCAAGGGGCCACTTCAGATCTTGTTCTGTCTCCTTTATTTCCTGTAAAATGGTAGTGAGAGCTAGAGGCCCTGTTTGATTAACTGTTTTCTGGGTTTTTTAGTTGTTGGTTTTTTTTTTTTTTTTTTTTTTTTTTTTTTTTTTTTTTTTTTGGTTTTTAACAAATAAATTGTAGGCGATATTCACTGCTTCCTTAAAGAGGCACAGCAGTCCCTGTGACTCTCCTGATGGTTACAACCCCGATAGTCATTTCCTATCCATTCCTTCCTTCCATTTCTTCTGCATTTATTAGCCAGATATTTCCATAAAGAGAAACTTCTCCATATCAAATATTTAATCACCCCAACATCCTCCTCCTGTAGGAAAGACAGGGAAAAAAAATGGTTGATTCTTCCCTTTTATTTCTTGGTTTTCAAAATAATGCACTGATTCACTCTCCTACTCCAAATGTGACCGCTACAATAACAAATGTTTTGGGTTTTATGGGCCATATGGTCTCTGTTGAACTACTCAGTTCTGTTGCAGCTTGAAAGAAGGGAGAGACAGTATGTAAACAAAATGGCGGCTGTACTCCAACAAAATTCTACGTGTCCAACCAGGCTGTGGCTGGACTTGACCTTTGTTGTGACTCTTACTTTTACTTTACATAATCCAGTTGGCCTCCCCCTCTTCTGTCTGTTTATCTCCTCCTGTGAGCAATGCTTCTGTTTCATCCACTTCCTTTTCCCACATTTCTAATCTGAAGAAATACTGTTTTATCCCTGTTAATAAGATAATCAGTCATTGAACTGTCTACAGTTTATCCTGTAATAGACTCCTCAGAGTAGGATTATAAGAACGGCATTTCCTATATCTTTGTGCATTAATGACAGTTTATCTATGGACCTGGAAATTGAATGTAATTTGATTAGATATAAAAGCCTCAAATCGTATTCTCTTCATTGGTCTTAAATATTTCACTCTGGATTTTTCTTCCATGGAGTATTACTGTCAAAAAGAATAATGACAAACTTTTTTTTTTTCCCAAGTGAGTGTTTGTCTTATTTCTGAATTTCCAAGGAATTTACTCTTTTTCTTTAAAGTTCAGTAGTTTTATTGGAATGTGTCTTGCAATTGGCTATTCTGAGTCATTTTCTACATATATACATAGCATATGCATTCAACTCTTATTTCAGAAAACATTTCAATTCTAATTTTTAAAATATTTTTGATTCACTAACTCGGTTTTCATCATAGGAGACCACTACTATATAAATGATGAATATTCTCCTATCTTTTATATCCCTTTATCTCATATCTCATTAATATCTCTATTAATTACATTTAAATATTTTTAAGATTTTAATTTGAGTTTTTCTAAATTCTGATACACATTTTTCTTT